CATTCTTCTTTTGGACATGTCTCTTTGAAAATGCTTCTTTGCTAAGACTATGAATATAAAATAACTTGAGTGTATTGAATTGAAATATATTATGGTACTCTGTTAGGGTTCCCCCCCCCTTATACTGTTTCCCATGGTAGCATAAAAATGTCTTCAGCATAAGGAAATGAATGGTTGGTTTGCGTCACATAATCTTGAGATTTTGCCCTTCCTGTGACATGATAGTGGAATTCAGATAGCAGATTGTTGAACATAAAACAACAGTGTATGCATTTGATTTTTATCCCACCACAATGTCCTCTGGAGAGCTAGATCTGCACATCTTGGGCAAGATAGGAGCATAGGGAAAACTAATTACAGGTTAATTATGAGAAAATAAAGTTCATGCATTTTGCAAGGAGCTCCAGAGGACACATACAGTTATTGAATCAGTCCCTTTTTTACGTACCTGGGGTTTCTGCTATACCAATTATGGAAGCAATGTACTCGTTTCTCTCAGATTGCTTTGAAGGTCAGAGTTCACCAGTAATACTTTTTTTCTTTTTCTCAAAGGAACCCTATATATACCCATTACTTTGAAACTTTTTGAAGCTAAGGTGAGCTCCACAGTTATATCCAGATGTTAATACAAGGAACCAGAAAAGTTCAAATTGGCTTTCCAAGAAAGTGATCTGTGCCTAACGTTGCTCTTTGTTTGGAGGCAGGGTTTATAAAAATTGAAATAAGTGTATGGCTAAGTGTGCTAATACTGGCAAAAAACAGACTTCTATGGTCTGATACACCTTATCCTATCAGATAATTATTCTTCTGGAAAATGCCAAGAAATAACAAAGTTACATAATATAGAATGGAATGGAATGGAATGGAATGGAATAGAATGGAATAGAATAGAATAGAATAGAATAGAATAGAATAGAATAGAATAGAATAGAATAGAATAGAATAGAATAGAAAATAGAATAGAATAGAAACCTTGGAGGTCTTTTAATTCAGAGGTCCCCAACCTTTTGGCTACCAGGGACTGATTCCATGGAGAGAGTTTTTCCGTGGCCCAGAGGGGGCGTGCTTTTGTGTGCTGCCTGCATCCCACAGATGGGGCTTTGCTTGTTTGTGCGGACTGGTTGCTGGCATGCCATGGCCTGCTACTGGTCCACGGACTGAGGATTGGGGATCCCTGTTCTAGTTCAACCTCCTGCTCAGGCAGGAAACCCTATACCATTTCAGACAAATGGTTGTCCAATCTCTTCTTTAAAACTTCCAGTGTTGGAGCATTTACAACTTCTGGAGAAAAGTTGTTCCACTGATTAATTGTTCTAACGGTCAGGAAATGCCATGCTTCTGGCATTCCTTCGTAATGTTATTTCTATACTGGTTGATCAAAAGGGGGCTGTGTGAAAAAGGATATTCATATATCAATAGCAACAAGCAAATTGATTGATTGGGTTACAGATTAGGACCATGTATTTGGGAGGCACCAGCCAGAGTGAGGGTATATGCTGGTGTCTGCATCTCAGAGGGAAGAGTAGGTAAACTGTTCTTGGTATTTCATACATGTTCAGTTCTCACATGATCTTCAGATAGGTCTTCTGTTTGAAAAACAGTGCTGTGAAAGAATCAATGAATCGATCTTGGTGACCACACAAGGCACTCACACCCTCCAGATGCAATTCATTGGCTAGAGAATTATGGCAGTTGTATCCCTTGTAAAGACTAGAATAAAGAGGAGTAATCTGGGCTCCCTAGATTTCTTTAAAGTTAAAGAAAGAAAAGCTGATTGTTGTATAGAGGTGAATGTGAAAAGACTAATCCGTGGGATAAGATTAGCATTTCAGTGTACAGAAGTTTGGTTGTTTGTGCTGGTGTTAGGATATCAGAGGAGAGTGAACTTGGAAGCACATAATTAGGAGACTGCCTGCATCTGGCAGACTTGTGACATCCCCGTGGAGACATAGCCTTTCTAAATTACTACTATCTTCATGTCTTTTTGACATTTCCTGATGGTTGAAATTAAAAGTTGGGAAATCAGATTACTTTCTCTGTCTTTGCTTGCTCTACCCTTACATTGCCACTGTGTTTTCTGACAGTCATGAAAATGGGAGTTGATGGGTGGATGGAAGTTGCCAGGGAGAAAGGGAGCTCCATTGTCTCTCAAAGAGACCTGGAGAAAATGAAAATAAAGGTTTTCCTGGAGTTTGTTAGCTAGATTTCTGTTTTGCCTCTTTTCCAAGAGTTCAAGGCTATTTACATACTGTAGGTATTTCTTCTCCTCATTTTATCTTCACAGGAGCTCTGCAGAGGATGGACTGAGAGAATGACTGGGCCTTAAAGTTAGCTAATGAGTATCTCTGGCTGAGGGTGGATTTGAACCTATGTCTCCCTAGTCTTAATCCTTTACCTCCACTACTGCACCCTATTGGCCCTCACGAGGAGAGAAGTTATTATTTGAAAGCACCATCCAAGATTTTTAACTTAACTAGTAATTAGATATATTTCCCGGTTTTTATTCAGGAGCTGAAGGCAGCATATTTAGTGGTATCTCCTTCCATGTTTTTCCCACAACAATACCTCTGTGAAGCAAGGTTGAGAGAGGAAAACTGGCCTGGGAGTTTCTGTGAAGTACACCTGGTTTCTCTCCAGCCCTGGTCCAACATCTTCTGTTGGACCTTTAAAGATGAAGGAAAAATGTACCTTCTTTCTCCACAGTTTTTACTAATTAGAATATATTCTTTACTTCTCAACTGTTGAGTCCAAACTTCCAATTTCTCCTCAGGGTTGTGTTTGGAACTTTGGACCAATTTGGAGATGACTAAACTTCTTTCACTTGATAATAAAGATTTGGTCTTTCTGAAATTCTGTTCCCTTCTTTCACATTTTGAAGCTATGTTTTTATTTTATTACTAGCTGTACCCAGCCACACGTTAATGTGGCTCAGTGTGGTTAAATGGAAAAGAAAGAAAAGAGAAAGCGCACATTTGTAATATGTTTAATTTCACAATGCTTGTGGTTATACAATACGTTTTGTTGTTCCGTTGTGTGTGCAGATATAAAGATTACGTCCAACAGATGGCACTGTTTTTCAAAAAAGCATGTTTTACCTGTCACAGGTGTGACATCTATATAATATAGGTAGATAAAAACACGTGCATATTCGAATGCAACGTTGTGTCAAAATTTCAAAGCAATCGGTGAAGAACTTTTGGAGATTTAAGATTTTGAACAAACGAACATTTACATTTTTATTTATATAGATTTTATTTTATTTTATTATCACATTTCTAAACATATAACATATTTTGTGTATAAGGGACCTCTAAATTCACCTCAAAGTTCTCTTCAGGCAAAATGAGCCTAAGTTGTGAAGGACGTACCTGGACAGCATAAAACAGCATTTATTGAAAACAAAAACACTATTTTTCCTATTTTTAAGTGATAATTTAACTATATCTCTCCAAAACAGGCAGAAGTGGCACATGTTGTACTGAGAGAAAACTGTCTTCTGGTAGCCAGATTCTCTTACTCATTTCCTGTCAAAGAGAATTGATGCTGAATTTCAAAATATGCTGTATATAATAAGCATGTGGGAGTGATTGACACAAAAAAATATCATAATCATTAACATATCATCATGAAGCAGTAAGATGAGTTAATTAGAATAAATCCTCTCCCCACCACCAAATTTATCTTGCCATCTTACTCTGTGAAGTTGGCCAACCAGAATCAATTTGAACATTTTGTTAAAAGGAAGATTTCAGCCTGACTTTTCTCAGACATAGTCCGAGGCACCATATCTTGTTGTATCATATAACTAGATGTGGCCACAACCAAGATTCTTCCAACTGAAAAAGCCCCAAGGAAGCTATTGATGTATCACTCTCCGTGATTCATTTCTGTTGTAAAAGGCCATGTAGCTTCCCTTGGCTGATTTGAGTTAATGGCATGACTATGTCTTCTGCAGTCCTCCTGGAGTCACCCTAATAAAGATGGGCATTTGCATAATCCAGCTATAGACAATCTCTCCTCTTGGGATCAATGTGGACGTCAAAGATCTATGAGGGAGGAAGCCCAGAATATCAGCAACCAACCACAGAACTGGACTTAAGTCACTTTTAAAAGGCAGAAATCTGTGGATTTCCTTTCAAGAGAAATATTGTTTGGGGTTCCAAGTAATTTTTTGAAAAGGGACATGTGTGTATTTACAGTAGTGCTTGTTGGTGTAGTGAGAACTGGCACCATTATTTCTCTTTCCTCTGGGTCTTGCTTTCTCCGTTGTTTTGTTTCTCTTTCTCTCCTTTTCTTCCATGCTTTGTTGAACAGTTTCTCTCTTCTCTACTACCTCTTCTCCTTCATCTTTCCCAAGCAACCAGCACTCTGGGCAGGGACCTGTCAATTTTTTTATCTCCATGTTACCAATCTCCATTTTAAGACATGCTTATGTTTACTTTTATTGTTATTATTATACTTAATCACCCAGTCAGCCAGACATTTAGACTGGATTTGGCATTTTTATCCACCTATTGAGTCATTCCCAAGGACCTGGAATAGGCAGATATTGTTGTTTTATGAGTAAATGGTATCATTTCAGGATGTATGCTGTTCCAAGTAAAGCTGCTTTTGCACTTGACTGATGGTAACTTAATAAATGCTAATGGTGTTCAATTGGTGCTCCAGCTGTTTTGGGATTGCACCCAAAGTGCCTATTTTTATTGATACTTTCTTTTATTATTATTGCATTGATTAAAACATGGTTTGGCATATATAAATATCTTGTGTACTTGTATTGCTATATATAATCAGAGTCATGGATGGATAGAGGATATGTTTCCACAGATTATCAATTATTCTATTGGTTTGAAATAACTAAATTTAAGGATCTCCCATACAAATGTACTAGGGGTTTAATATTAATATTACTCTCCAATAGTTAATGAGTTGCCCATATGGAATGCTGGAAAAAGAATGCCCTCTTTAATGTGTTTTGTATTTCTTCTTCTTCTTCTCAGCCCAAAACTGCAGTTACATTTTGCAAGGTCCAAACGGGACAATACAAAGTCCGGGGTTCCCGTACGGCTATCCAAATTATGCAAACTGTACCTGGACAATCACCGCCACAGAACAGAACAGAATACAACTTGTTTTCCAGTCCTTTGCGCTAGAGGAAGATTTCGATGTCTTATCTGTTTATGATGGGTTGCCCCAACAAGGAAGCCTAAGAACAAGGTATGGAAGAAAAAAAAAATATTTATCACTTGCAGCAGGAAAATTTTCACATACAAGTTAAGATGTCTGTTGCTTGGATTAAAACACATAGATGGAGAGTTTTATGTTTCAATAAAATGGGATTTTATTTTTCTTTTATGAAATTATCTAAACTGTCTGGACTCTGCACACTTGATAAGGGCTAAAAAATACTGCTAATTTTGTTCAGTGCCATGGAGCTATCAGTACAGTTAGTGTACTGCTTGAGACTTCTAATGAAATTAATCAGACAATGATGACAACCTATTCTTAGAAAACCAGTTGATTCTCTTATCACATTCCCCACTTTTAGAAACTTTGGATTAGCACCTTCGGAAAGAGGAAGAAATATTGCAACCTTTCAGCATTCTTTAAAATGATTAAGTCCTGCCAAATTGGTGTTGACTCTTTAGCAATCACATAAATAAACTTTTCAAGGGCATCTATTTGCAACCTGGCCTTTTAGGTCTGTTAGTGGAGCACTCATTGCTCTTGTAATCAAACCCATCCATCTTGCTGATGGTTCTCCTCTTATCCTTCTTTCCACTTTTCTCAACATTATGGATTTCTCAAAGGAACTTTGCGTCATATGTCTAAAATATAATAGTTTGAGTCTGGTTGTTTATACCTCAAGTGAGAACTCAAGATTGATCTTTTTAAAGAGCCATTTCTTTCTTTTTTCCTGGTAACGTATAGTTTTCTCATGAGTGTTTTCTAACATCAAAGTTACAAAGTGTCAATACTTTTTATCCTGTTTCTTTACAATCCAGAGTGTCATAGAGAAAACCATATTAGCACAGTCTTGATCTTTGTATAGAAATGTCATAGGATCTGATTATCTCTTCCAAGGTTTTCCCTGCTGTCCTACTAAGTGCTAATCTGCTGCATATTTCTTGTCTGCTAGCTCTTTTACAATTAATATTCAATCCTAAAAGGCAGACACTATCTACTACTTAAATGCTGCATAGCCCAGTGATGGCGAACCTTTTAGAGACCGTGTCCCAAACTGCAACCCAAAACCCACTTATTTATCACCGGGTGCCAGGTGGGCGTGGACCACTGGGTGGGCATGGCTGTGGTGGTCATGGTAGACAGGGTGGGTGTGGCCAAAGGTGGGCATGGTCACCTCGATGTTGCTTATGGGGAGGGATGCCTGTGGCAGTGTTGGGGGAGATCCAGGGGATCTCTGGCAGGTGGGGTGGTGGGCAGGAGGCTTGTCCTGCAGGGTGAGGCAAGACGGGGATGCCAATTGCAGCGGGGCAAGGCAAGGCAAGGCAGGGGCCAGGGCGGCTGCTGCCTGACACCATCGGCCTGTGCACACAGAGACCAGCAAGCGCATGGGGGCCGACGGTGTCCATCAGCAGGCACAGCCTGCTGGCTCCTTGACCGGCACACTCTGGGGCTCCACAGCCCGCCGCCAACAGTTCAGAGAAGCTGCCTCTGAGCTGGAAGGCCGGTCTACAGCTGAGGAGGCAATGCAGTGGGTTGTGCCTGGGAAAAGGAGAGCATGCGAGGTCAGGAGGGACGGGGGGGGAGGGAAACCAGCCGTGCCAGGATACATCCAGCCATGTGGGACCTCGGTGAGTTAGTAGGTGGCTGGTGGAAGAGGGATGGTTGCCGTCTCTGGGGCACGGTGTGCATGCCCACAGAGAGGGCTCTGAGTGCTGCCTCTGGCACGCGTGCCATAGGTTTGCCACCACTGGCATAGTCAGTCCTAGGGATGTTTGTTGTATCTACTGCTATTAGCTTGGTCTTCTTTATATTTAACCTAGCTTTTTTTCCCAGTATGAGCCTCTACTTTTATTAATAAAGTTTTTAGATTATTTGCATTTTAGTTAACAAGAGCTGTATTATCAGCATAGCATAAATTACTGATATTTCTTCTTCCAGTTTTAAAACCACACTCATCAATGGTGAAAAAAGTAAGGTTGTACATTTAGGCAAGAAAAACCAAATGTACAGGTATAGTATAGGCGGTACCTTGCTCAATAGTAGTAACTGTGAGAGGGACCTCGGAGTCCTAGTAGACAATCACTTAAATATGAGCCAGCAGTGTGCTGCAGCTGCCAAAAAAGGCCAACACAGTGCTGGGCTGCATTAACAGAGGGATAGAATCAAGATCACGTGAAGTATTAATACACTTTACAATGCCTTGGTAAGGCCATACTTGGAATACTGCATCCTGTTTTGTCACCACGATGTAAAAAAGTTGCTGAGACTCTAGAAAGAGTACAGAGAAGAGCAATAAAGATGATTAGGGGACTGGAGGCTAAAACATATAAGGAACCGTTGCTGGAATTGGGTATGTCGAGTTTAACGAAGAGAAGGACGAGGGGGAACAGGATAGCAGTCTTCCAGTATCTCAGGGGCTGCTACCAAGAAGAGGGAGTCAAACTACTTTCCAAAGCGCCTGAAGGCAGGACGAGAAGCAACAGATGGAAACCAACCAAGGAGAGAAGCAACCTAGAACTAAGGAGAAACTTCCTGACAGTTAGAACAATGAACCAGTGGAACGACCTGCCTCCAGAAGCGGTGAATGCTCCAACACTGGAAGTTTTTAAGAAGAAACTGGACAGCCATTTGTCTAAAATGGTGTAGGATTCCTGCCTGAGCAGGGGGTTGGACTCGATGACCTCCAAGGTCCCTTCTAACTTTATTATTATTATTATTATCTCCTTTCAATCCAGTTTTCCTCAATATATTTGCAGCATGCAGTTTGAATAAATAAGGAGAGCGTAAAAGCCAACGCCCACCATGATTCTCTATACAGAGATGTTTAAGCTTGTTGTCTAATTATTTTCCTGCTGCAGTTTTAGAACCAAGCAAATTTAGTAAGAATGGAGATGTTCTCCCATCATTGCTTAAGGCAAGAGGCAACTGGCTGATTTCTGTGTGATTCTGTTTTGTACATGAAATCAGATGTTGACAACTTGTATTGGTCTCTTCTGACTTTGAAGTACAAGGAATATTTCTCAAGTATTATGTTATCCAAAAAGCCATTTGCTCCTTGGTGTAACGTCCAAACAAGTCCCATGACGACTTAGTGCCTCAGCTCGGCTGGAAGAATCTGGGTTAAAGAAGCAGAAATGATTGTGAAAAGCAGCTCCGATGGTGAGTGAGAGGAATAAAATTCTAATGGTAAAAAAAAAAAAAAGTCTACTGTTTGTAACAGCCAAAAGGTTCTTTCTTTCTTTCTTTCTTTCTTTCTTTCTTTCTTTCTTTCTTTCTTTCTTTCTTTCTTTCTCTCTCTCTCTCTCTCTTTCTTTCTTTCTTTCTTTCTTTTTCCCTCAAAAAGTGGTAAATAAAATAAAATCCAAGCAATTTGTTGTGTTGTGTGACCCAAATTGGAGGAATCTTCAGTGATTTAGGGAAGCAGAACAATGCTTTAACATAAAGTAAAAAAAAAAAAAAAAACACATTCAAAATGATTCTATTGATTTCTGTTCTTCTAAGAAGGCAAACAATTTAAATACAGATGTCCCTAGTGTTGAGAAGCTAGAAACCATAATATTAGCAGTTTTTCTGGAGAAGGAAAAGAACCCAGCATTTTTCTGTTTATATTGTACCTTATTGCATTTAAGGATATCACAACAATTGAGCTGGGTTAAATAAGAATTCTAAAACTGGATGGAAGTGGAAAGCTAATTAGTTCTGTCTGCCATAACTAAAAAGGTGTTCCTGGAAAATTGGTCCCCTTTCTTCAAGCTAGCAAGATATTTAAGCTAAAAAATAATAATATAACTCCCAGATTCAGAAGAACTCTTTGTCAAGATCATTGCCTTTCCAACAATTTTCTTTGGGGAAAATTCTATTCAAACAGAATTGATTCTGCAGTGAAGGAGTTATTGAAACATTAAGTCGTGTTTTATTATATTGCCTTTATTGTAAGGATAAAGATGCCCAGTTACAACTAATAACTTCCCATTTTGTCAGATTCTCAGGCCATCTAGATTCATTCTATTTTCTTGTTGCTGTATCACCAGCATAGTATTATTTCTCTGAATGTGGCTAGGTTTTGCATGACAATGTGTAAAATAAATTGTGCCTTGAGCATATTGCTTTTATAAATTTTGTTATGATTTTCTGATCCATTCCTTAGTAAGGAAATAGACTATTAAAGGAAGGAACAGCACTGCATTTCTAGGGAAAATGGGAGTCCAAGGTCTGCTCTTGGTTTGGAAGTTCCTAGATTTCTTCTGTACATGTTTCTTACAATGCAAAGTATAAGCAAAACAGTTTATCTCCCTATTAGCTGAAATATATTAATTTTCAAAAGGAAGAACAAAGGGTATTTTGGGATATTAACTCCCCTTTCATGAATATAAATGGATCATTAAATATTAAGATTTTATGAGAGTTACAAGGAGGCTTTGTCTATCCTGCTTGTTTCTTCTTAATTAAAAATGTCAACTTTAATTCTCCTGAAAAAGTTTTTTTTAACAGAAAAAAAGAATAGGTAGGAAGTAAAATGGTTATCCAGAAAAAAAGCAGTCTGAACATTCTTATATATATCTAAGTCTACATCTAGCAAGCAACCAGAAAATTGATCAATGTCCTTAATTACAGTCAATGACCAGAACTTAGATGGAACATCTTCAAAAATTCCAGTAAGTTTATATACTTTCTTCTATGATAGGGGATTTGAAATGCATGGAAAGTAATATTAATAAACATTATTTAAACTTAAATAAAATTAAATTATTTACTTTTTCAGCTCCTGGCTTGCCACTTAAATTCAGTACCTGGCTCTTATCCCAAACAAATTGCTCATCCATATAACAGGGTTATTAGACAATGTCAAAAGATTTACATATGTTTTGAACAAGTCTACCCCCTTTGCATTTTTTCAGAATCACAAAATTACGGTCCTGAAATTGGAGAGCATCATGGTTTGATTGTGATGGCATGACATTTCAAATAGGGCATAGTTTGCTTCTTGGAGTAGTTCTGCTCTGATCCTCTGAAGTCCTCCAGAAGATTAG